TGGTCCTTTGACCAGTTTTTTATTAATTTTTTTTTTTTTTTTTTTTTTACTGTTGAGTTAAGTTCTTTGTATAATCTTGTTACTAATTCCTTGCCTGATGAATAGTTGGCAAATATTTTCTTCCATTCTGCTGGCTACCTCATTGCTCTGTTGGTTGTTTTATTTGCTTTTTGGTTTGATGTAAGCCCATATGTTTATTTTTGCTTTTGTTTCCTGTGATTTAAAAGTCTTCTGCATAAAATTTTTGCCCAGACCGATGTATTGGAATGTTTCCCTTATGTTTTCTTCTAGTATATTTTATAGTTTTAGGTCTTACACTTAATTCTTTAATTCATTTTGAGTTGACTTTATTTTAGCATTCACTTTTGCATTTGAGAATTCTGTTAACAGTCAGATTATGTTTTTCTTTTATCCATGTTATTTTCTTTACTTGTCCCATTTGAATTTTACTTCTTTTTATTGACACATTTTTTTTTTTTTTGTAAAATGGCTTAAGATTTTCTTTTTATCTGTTGTTTTTACATTTTACATTAAATGATATCCAAGTCTCCACTGGACTCTTATTAAAACTGTCATTATTAAGCATTGAATAATCTTTTAGCTGTAGATTTTTTTTTATTATTATTCACCCCTTCATTATTTTTATTTCTCCTTCTGAAACTCTTATTATATGAATATTACATTTTCTGGATTAATCATCTATGCACATTAATTTTTCTTCCATTCTAGTCTCTTTTGCTGTCTTATTATAGTGTTTTGGTTAAAAATGCTTTCTTACACCTCTTAGATAATAAAATTTATTTTAAGCAAAGTCCATTATAATACTGAGTCATTCTATTCAGCTTCAAATTTTAATCGTTGTATTTTTAGAAATCTTTTCTGATCTGAAATTGTATTTTTTCACAACAAACTATTTGCATTTTGGTAATTCAATATACTTCGGTATATTTACATCATGACACTCCCATGAATGAGAGGGCACTGTGTTAGTGCTGTTATGTGCAGCAGGCTTGACATCAAGCAAACATTGCTTTAGCATGTGCAATGAAGTTGGAGAATATAGACAAGTTGGGGACTACAAATTTCAAAATGGGAAAAGATTTATATTTGAGAATGATAACACTTTATTATATTCCTGGGGAGAATTTTATTTTCAAGTCTTGCTCCTTTTAAAATTTTTTAATGGATTCTGATCTGCTACTCAGTGTGAGCCTAATAGTCTTGCCAATGTACTACTTTTTGCTTGTATAACACTACCTTACATAAGGATATGTCTCATGCTTTTGCTAGAGGACAGAAGTAGCAATCAGTTCTCTGTGTATTTCTGTGTGCAGAAGGTGAAGAAGGATTATTGGCCCATTTGTTCTATGAATATACGCATGCATTTAGAATGCTGGTGATTGTCTCATGGTCTGCTATGCTCACTGCACTGGTTGATTCTGAGTTTAGAAATAATAATTTTGTGCTTGTTTGGGAAAAAAGTGGCCTTAATACTTAGAAGCCCTATATTTTACTTGTTTTAGATTGTCTATTTTCTAGTAATGATGTATATTTATTATTTTATATCTAGCTTATATTTCATTTCAATATACATTTGAAAGAGATCAGAAATAAATATTTATACTCAAAAAATAACTTGAAACAGAAATTTTGGCAGAATTTTACAGCAAATATGCAGTCATAAAATGCTGTGTCAAGTGGGTAGTTGGTACCTCTTTCGTTTAAGAGGTAAAGAATGTGAAACTAGATAATACATGTAAAATTAAATTGATGATTATAAAAATGTGTTAACCTGTTAGTTCTTATTTATGTTTTTACTGTTACCTCAATATTAACTCTTCTCACTGAGATAAATAATCACAATTAATAATATATTTTGAAAATATTTATTTCCTATGTTAAAGTAGCAAAAAATACAAGGAATGTCATAGAATGGGTGAAATGATCGCTATGATAACTTCCAAACTTGAATTTGACCTTATCTCTGCTTGAACAATATTTTTTTTATATTTTATTTAGGTCATTCCATTCTTTAAAATGTCCTTTACTTTAAATTACCATTCTTTCTTCTCTATTACCATTTTTGAAAACCATGAGTGTGTTGCTTATATCTATTTTGACAATTTTATATATCCCTGTTATATACACTTTTTCACACTCCAAATTTTTTAAGGTTCTTTACGATTTGATTTCAGTTTCCACCCCCTTTTCAATATTTGCTTTTTTGAAGTCATGAATAATTTTCCTTTTACACATTTCAATGCTCAACTAAAGTTATCCAGTTAAAACCAATAAGCCAATAAATGAATAAATAAATATTCCTTTTTGTTCTGTCTAATGTGCGGCTAAATCCAGTTTACTCTCTCTCCCTTCTATATTGCATCTCGTGCCACCTCTTTATTTACATTACCAATAAATGTCAGTTCTCTTGTCAGGGGTCATAGGGCCTTTACTTGAATATCTCTACAAAAGAAATCTTATTACTATGTGAAGGAGATCTAGAACACCAGACAGTTACAATGAAAAGTTCTTTCTTCAGTGAATTAAAATGCCTCTCCTTGAAACTTCTTTTGTGTGGTTTATTCTCTGTCAGGGGTCGGTAGAGAATATCATTGCAAATACATACTCAGACATACATCAACAAACATGCCTCCAACAATTGCTGCCAATATTCCTTTTTGATTTATATAAAAAAAACCTGATGGTCAAATTTGGTGAAAGGAATTTTTAAAAATTAATTTTTATCACAAAGTTTCTGTATTTTTAGGCCTTATACTTTCATAACCTGGATGAATTACCTCTCATTCAGTCTTTTTTGATGAACAGAGTCTTCACCCGCTCCTGGATCTGCTTGGTCCTGATCCCATAAATGACTGGGTTGAGGGCAGGGGGGATAACTACATACAGATTAGCCAGGAGGATGTGGAGGAACTGGGGGATGCCATGACCAAAGCGATGAGTGAGGAAGGAGAAGAGTGCTGGACCGAAGAAGGTTGTGATGACACAGATATGAGAGAGACAGGTATTAAGGGCCTTCAGGCGGGCATCTTGGGAGGGGAGGTGGAAGACAGTGCATAAAATCTTAGCATATGAGATAACAATTAGAAGTGCATCCAGAAATAAGATGGAAATATTTGCAAGACCATAGTAGACATTGGCGCTGATGCTGGCACAAGCCAGATGTGCCACTCCCATGTGCTCACAATAGGTATGAGGGATGATTCTGTGTCCACAGTAAGGTAGCCTCAGGAGAAGAAAAATGATGGGAGCAATCATGCATAAGCTTCTTAGAACCACAATCACAGCAATCATACCAATGATTCTGTTGGTGAGGATGACGGTGTACCTGAGGGGGTTGCAAATAGCCACAAAGCGATCAAAGCCCATGGCAAGAAGCACAATGCTCTCCATGACTGTGAAAAAGTGGATAAAAAAGACCTGAGCAACACAGCACCCAAAGCACAGCTCCTGAAGCCTGAACCAGAAAATGCCCAGCATCTTGGGGATGGTAGCCGTAGAGAGACTCAGGTCAATCACTGACAGCATAGCCAGAAAGTAGAACATGGGTTGGTGGAGGCTATGATCAGTCCAGATCACAAACAGAATGATAAGATTTCCAACAAGAGCAATCAGATACATGGCACAGCAGGGAAAGCCAAGCCAGATTTGTACAGCTTCTAATCCTGGAATCCCCAACAACAGGAAAGAAGAGGGGTGGGGCTCAGTGATGTTGGGAAAAGTCATGCTTCTATGGGCTGATAGTGGCCATGGTTGTTGCCAACTTCCACAGGACAATTCATCCAGATTTAACTGAGATCTGCAAAAATTAATTTAAAAATTTCAAACAAATGATATTAGAAAGAACTTTCTCTAAAGGCCTTTGCTTATTTTTTTCTTCTTTTAGCTCCCCATAAATAAACTTTTATCTCTTTCACCTTCACCATAAGTGTGAGAGGCTGAGGTGCAAGTAGATGCTAACAACATGTCTCTCCTAAAATTATAGGCTCATAGTAAGTAAGAGCACCTACCTTTCTGTAAATAAACTTTTATCTCTTTCACCTTCACCATAAGTGTGAGAGGCTGAGGTGCAAGTAGGTGCTAACAACATGTCTCTCCTAAAATTATAGGCTCATAGTAAGTAAGAGCACCTACCTTTCTCTTTTTCAAGAAATAGGCACTCTGAAGAGATAATAAAATTGATGATAAAAATAACCAACAAAATCATAATAGCTATCATTAATTTATATCTACTATTTATTATTTTGATATATTTGCATATGTTATCTTACTTAGTTCTCCCTACAATTCCTTGACACAAGTTCTGCTGATATCTGGAAGACATGGAAGAGAAAGATTTTGATAAGTTAATTAACTTCTCATTGTTTACAAAGCTAATGAGCAGAAGAGTCAAGATTTGAAACCATTTTGAAACTAGGCTATATATTAATCTGGATCAATATTTGCAATACTTGTTAATTAAGTAGTAAAAGGAGAGATAAAGAAAAGTAAGGTATAGAAAAGTAAGGGAAGAATAAAAGGATCTAGAATAGCCAAAACTCTTTTCAAAGAAGTAAAAATCTGCAAAATTTACATTATCTGATATTAAGACTTTATAGAGAGCTATGATGCTCATAACAGTGTTCAACTGTCTTTATTCACTTTTTTTTTTTTTTTTTTGCCGAAAAAGAAAGAGTGAATAAGGACAGTTGAACAGAATTCAATGCCTAAAAGCAAATCCACACAGTTCATAGGGTCTAGGTATCTAACAGTAAGGTATTCACAAATTGGAAATTAAGATAAATTGGCAAGGAGAAATGGTAATCTGTGAATATTTCCCCCATATGATTCTTTACTAAGAGACTGTTGACATCTGTAATATTTGAAAAAAATGTGATATCAGATATGATCTGCTGATGAAAGCTAGCTAAATTGCAAAGTTTAAGGGCAAGACTTTCCTCGCTTTTGAAATTAACTTAAATTTCAGGAGGTTTCTAAAAATACTCCCAGGTTTAATAATTTATGAGAAGGACTCAGACTTCTAAAACTCACTGAAAGCTATTCTTATCACAGTTGCAGTTTATTACAGGGAAAAGATACAGATAAAAATCCAACAAAGGAAGAGATGCTTAGGAAAGAATATATAAGGTTTCCAAATGTAAACCATCCATTATTTTCTCATGGAGTAAGAATAAATTACTGTTCTGGCATTAATGTGTGACAATAGGCATGGAGTTATATCCCAATCAGGAGAGCTCACTAAAGCTTTGGTGTCCAGGGTTTTTACTGGAATTTCATTACATAGGCAAAATTGATTAATTGCAAACATGGTTGACCCAAAGCCTCTACCCTAAGTCATGTTATTGATCTTTATGTTATGGCCAGCCCCTATCCTAAGATCTGGTGTGGCCAGTTCCCATTCTACACAAAGACACTGCTATAAGGCATAATTTACATTACCTCCCAGAAGCAAAGAGCAAAGGGCGGATCTCTCTTTGGGTAAGGTCAAATTCTTTACTAAATGTCTTTTCATTTAGTCTCAAAAATATTCTTTACTATTGCTTTATCTAAGTTTTTAACCTCATTCCTCACCTTGGGACCTGGTCTCAGCTGTAAGTTCTGGTCACTAAATTTTGAAGTTCGAGTCCAGTTTAATCCCTTTGAACTATGAAGCACGAAGAGAGACCAACAGCTGATCACCTGCTTTTTTATATTGGTGTATGTATGCAGTCATTCCAAGTATAAGAGAGTTTAAGCTCATGATTCTATCCTTTGCCTTCTACACTGTATCCTTCCCCTACTATGGCCTTTTTTATTTTTACTTCACGTATCATTCACTATATTACTATAAAGGCAGTATGTCTAGGAAAAAGAAGCGAAAGCACAGGTATTTAATATTACTGGTGCTGTGGCATGGGACAGAGTCCCAATTCTGTCCTTACTGGCTTAGTGACTTTAGATATGTTACATGATATTCTGTGTTAAAGTTTCATCTAGAAATAAGCATAGTACTATCTGCCTCCTATTATTATTGGGTTGCATAAATGAAATCATATGTTGTAGGATCCCCCCAGAATATTTTTCTCCCCAACTTCTTTCTATCTTACTCCTCCTGCTACCTTTCCCTAGACACTGATATGTGTCATTTTATTCCCTATCCTTATACTCTAGGTCTTAACTTGATTTCTAGGAATCCAGATTTCAGTCTTAAGCACATGTTGCATAGACTTACTGATCAAAACACTTACCAAGATTCCTCCCTTCCATGTTAGGGAGTCATGTAGTAAATCTGCATTCAGTTTTTGAAGTACATTTGTATATAAATGGTTTAGAATAGAGCCTTAGTGCACAATAAGAGATGTCAACAAAATATCAATGTGTGTGTGTGTGTGTGGGAGTAGGGGATTTGTAATAGTCTCCAGATGCCAGAGAGTCTTAGGTATTGAGATTAAAGTAAGTAGTAATTCTCCTTTGTCATTGCACCAGCTGAAGAGAAGCTCTAGGGAAATCTTAGTGAAACTTCTGCCCATTACTTGGCCAGTTGCCAGGTCTTGTTATTCACATAATATTTATGACAAGTCCCATTTTGGTCTCCTTTCTTCCTCCTTATTCTTCTCTATGTATGTCTATGAATTGCTTGGATTAATCTTTTGGGCTCTATTGGACACCTGTATAACCACAAATCTTTTTTCTATAGTGACAAAATATTCATGCCTATGAAATAAAATTTATCATTTTCACCATTTTAAAGTTTACAATTCAGTGGCACTTAGTACGTTTATAATCCTGTGCAACTGTCACCACTATCAAGTTTCAGAAAATTTTAATCACTCCAATAATAAACCTGTGTCTAGTATGCATTCACTTCCCATTCTTCTCTCCTTCTGAACCCTGGAAACCATTAATCTGCTTTCTCTCCCTATAAATTTTCTCCATAAATATCAGATAATTTGTGTAAATGTAATCATGCAATATGTAGCTTTTTGTGTCTGGCTTATTTCACTTAGCATAATAATTTCAAATGGCATCCATACTGTAGCATGTACTGATGTACTTCGTTTCTTATTTTTTAATTGAAACATAATTGATTGTACATATCCGAGGAGTACAGGGTTGAATATAAATATCTGTGTGCAATATGTGATGCTTAAGTCAGGATAATTAGTATATTCATCACTGCACAATGTAATCATTTTTTGTGGCTCTTTACCAATGTCTTGCTAAACTCCCGCATCCCCCTTTCCCAACTCTGGTAGCCTCAGTTATGCTCTCTCCTTTTTTAAAAAAATTTCACACTCGAAACATGATTGATTATACATACAAATGAGATACAGAGTTGACTATCAGTATTTGTGTACAATATGCAATGATGAAATCAATATTATTAGCATGTTCATCATTACAAATAATAATCATTCTTTCTGTCCTTTACCAAATTATCCCCTAACCCTATTCCTCTCCTCTTTTCCCACCTAGTGACCATAGATCTGTTCTTTCCTTCTGAAAGTTCAAAGTATTTTTCTGGTAGTTAATCGGAAGATGATTGGATAAGGAAAATGTGATCTATAAACACAATGAAATGCTCCAGTGCCATAAAAAAGAATGAACATTCACAGCAACATGGCTGAACTTAGAGAAAATTAAATTAAACAAAATAAGCCAGGCACAGAAGAGAAAAATTGCATGTCCTCATTCATAAGTGGGAGCCAAAAAAAAAAAAAGGAAATAAATAAAAGAAAATTACAGGCCAATATCCTTGATGAACACAGATGCAAAAATCTTCAACAAAACATTAGCAAGCAGAATACAGCAATGCATTAAAAGAATTACATGCCATGAACAAGTGGGATTCATCCCAGAGATGTAAGGATGGCTTGATATATGAAAGTCAATAAATGTGATACATCACATCAACAAAGTCAAGGACAAAGACCAAATGCTTATCTCAATAGATGCTGAAAAA